TGAACAGTCGTGGAAGTCAATGAAGCTACCAAAATCTCTCCATATGTACCTACATATCTCTCTCTCTTATGTATAAAAAACATAACGAATTCGCCTCACTTTTCTAAATTCGGCAGTGACATTATCTTGTTGAGATTCACCCTGATGAACAACTTTGTTTTACCATCAAAAAAGATGGGGGGTGTATTGATTTTGTTATCCCGTTTGTAACACATCGCATCCCACTAAGTAACCACAAAGCTCTTAAAGCAAATGGTCTAAGCTTTCTTTCAAGCAAAACAAATTTTTTTTAAATTAAAAAAAAAAAAAAAAATTGGAAAACAATAAAGAAATAGCTATCTGAACTCCTTTGCACAATTTTTGCTAGGACCAAGAGGTGAAAAGTTACACTCATTTAAATTAAACCCTGTATGACCAAAATGTCCAACTTATAAATTAGCCTTGATTAGTATAAGTATAATTTTGTATTTAAATGTTAAACATACTATAAATTAGCTTATTGACAAGTCTACATGGTGGGAGGTTTTTATGTTATTTTTCGATGAGTGAGGTTATGATTATTACACGACTTGGTAGAACTCTAAAGCACTGAAAAATTTAACCAAATAGACTTGTGAAATCTTGGCTTCAACATTTTTTTATTGAAAAAGTTCAAATACTAAATATATTGTAATAATAATTCTATTCGAAACTACAAAATTATAAATTTCATGACCCCAACTTAGTTCCAAAAGTTTATATGAAAATATATATATTTTTATATTTTAATTGTATATTTAATGTTTTAACCAATAGTGATCATATATTGGATAAATACACAAAGCATAATAAAATGGCAATGTTTGGTACCTTTAATTTGCAGCGATTTATTTTTGGACCTTTACATCATCAAATAGCTTACAGTAGTACTTCTTTGTTTCCACTGGTTTTTCATCTTGTTTTTCATTAAATAAAAGATTAATTTCGAAAATCAAAAACAAGTGTTTTACGCCAAAACGAGTGGTTCTCAAGCTATTGGAAACATAGTTGCATTAGGCTATTGTACCACCAATATATTTTTGGGATTTTCGGAGAAAAAATATTTATAATTGATCCTTATTTCTGTTTGTTATAAATATTTTTAAAATAAATTATTTTATAACATTTACTTTAAGTGAACAATATCAACCTGTCATTAGCTATTTTGTATAAGAATTCTAAAAAAATATTTTTGATTGTAATGTTTTGAAATCTAAATATCTATAAATTCAAAAATTATTAAATGGTTTCGCGTATAGTATGTTTAAAGTAGCGAGCTTCCTTTACTTGTTTCGAATTAGAAAATAAGTGCGAAATATTATGATACTTTAGTTAATTTTCTATTTCAGAATTAAATAAATGATAAACTACATTAATATTATTGAAAAAACGGGTTAGCAAATATTCTTGTTAGTATAAATTTTGTATAACATATTATCACATCCACAAATTCCCTCAGGCATCTGTTATATACTTTAAAATACCGATAAGTTAATTTGTAATAAGATAGTCTACGTTCTGTTAACGTTTATGTAGTTTAATTAGCACTATACTGGAAGCATGACAACTAACTAATTAAGCTATGTGCGGTTGTCAGATCTTCCAAAGTTGGCAGATCTGTCAATGTAATGGCAATGTACTGACAATGAAAAATTGTTAGCAACAGATAAATTGTCCGTTTAAACGATTGCAAGAAAACCTTACAATTTCATTGCCAGACAATTGTGAGACAATAAATTTATCTGCCAACAAAAATTGTCAGTTTACACTATTGGCAGGTTATTGTATGACAACAGTTGCTAGGTCTTATTTTAACTCCAAATGTTCTTTTAATGCATTCTCTTCCAAACCGACACTGTCAAACTAAAAAATTTAATGAATTCGCCGTAAAATAAAATGACTTCACCAAGGCGAATTCAGATAAGGTTGTGTTATTCAACCAGCTGATTATTTTTTTTTTTTTTCATTTGACTGCAAGGCGAATTCATTAAGGTGGTGTTACTCAATCAGCTGATAATTTTTTTCTTAGCTGTCAAAGTTTGTTATTGTTTACATTTTTACATTTAAAAATGTCCGTTAAACGGAGAAAAACTTCGTTAACATTTTGAATTATTTATGTAAAAAATCTGAGAATACCAAGCATCTCGTAAACAAATATCATTTTATTTAAATAATGGCATAATTGGTATACAAAGTATTCAAATATGTTATTTAAGAAAAATATTTTTTTCTATTAAATGTTAACATATTACACAATATTGTTTTATATTTTATATTAAAATTGTGTAGATAACGCGATTTACTAAAAAAAATTTCTTCCGGAACACTTAATATTAAGAAACGCATATGAAGTATTTACCCGGCTGGCGGCAGCTGACTTCTACGTTATGGCTTAATTTTAAAATCTATTAAATTTTAACAAATTAAACAATATTGTTTTATATATACACTATGTAGATAAAGAGATTAACTAAAAAAGTCTGTTCCGGAACGCTTTATATAATAAAACCCTTCCGGCGGCTGCTATATTATGGCCAAATATTGAAAATTACTCCGCCGGAGTAGAATTATCCATTCGCAACAAATATTCATCCATTCGTAATATAATATTTTCATGAATATGTACTTTTTTATGTATATATTTTCCTCACAATATATATTTTCCTCAAAAATTTTATTATCTTTATCTTTATTTTTTAATGAAACATAAACATTTTACAAAAATTTTTCATCAAATGAATTCGCCGTACTTATGGTTTTTGACATCAACATAAACCAAATGCAAAAACAAAATACATGTAAAATGTTGTTATCTGAATTCGCCTTGATTTGACTGGTACGCACTGATGTCAGAGTTCGTTATTGTTTACATTTTTATATTTAAAAATTTCCGTTAAAACACAGAAAAACTTCGATAGTATTTTGAATAATTTATGTAATAAATCTGAAAATACCAAGAATTTTGTAAACGAATATTTTTTTATATAATTAATGAACAATTAATAATAACGCATGTACAAACTTAATATAACAATAATATTTTTCTATTATATGTTAACAAATTAAACAATATTGTCTTATATTTAATATTTACCTACTCTTTGTAGATAACGCGATTAACTAAAAAATGCTGTTCCGGAACACTTTATACATATAAAAACCCTACATGAGGTATTTACCCGACCGGCGGCAGCTGTCTTCTACATAAGGTCAAATTTTGAGATCTAAAAGAAAAATTAATAAATTGTTTTATATTTACACTGTGTATATAATGTGATTAACTAACAAAATTCTGTTCCGGGACTCATTTTATAACAAAACCGATATGAGGTAGTAGAATTTTTCATTTGGAACAAACATTATTCCACTCAGGGTATATTATCTTCACAAATTTAAGTATTTTTATCTGTATTTTTTATAAAATATAAAAATTTCACAAAATATTGTCATTAAATGAATTCGCGCAATTATTGTTTTTGACATCAGTGCGTATCAAATGTAAAAACAAATTACATGGAAAATTTTGTTGTTGCCGAACTGCCACCACCATGGCGAAACTTTTTTGTCCATGGAAATTTAGTTCGACGCTGTCAAACTCCATATATAAAAAATTTAATGAATTCGCCGTAAAATGAAATGACTTCACCTTTTAATCTATTTGCCTTGGCCACCACCTTATCTGAATTCGCCTTTGACTTCACCTTATAATATATTCGACTTGATAGAAATTGTAAAGCAATTATCTGGCAATGTCGACGTAATGTGTTTACACGGTTGGTTAATGACTGACAATATTGTTGTTTTAAAATATACTGACCAAAGTATATTAATTAATATACTTTGATACTGACGATACTTTTTCTAACAACGTTGCAAGACAAAAATTGTTAGTTCACACGGTTGTTAGACATTTTCAGAACATTATTCTGCCAACATTGGAAGATCTGACAACCGTGTATACATAGCTTTAGAAAGATCCAATATCTTTGACTTTTTCAAAACCAGTTATAAAATATTTTTTTATATGTATCTTTATTACCTCCGGAATATTGACGGTGGCTCCTTAGCGAAAATCTGTCTGTCTGAAATCAATCTGTCAAGGACAAGTTCTCCTCATAATTAACTCAAATCTTTTAGCTCCGCCTACTTATTCTCACATGTAAGACGTTTAAAGGTAAAGAAGGACCAAGTGACTGTCAAAGATTTTTTAACAATGTTCTTAAAGCTAACTGATTTTTTTTCTTCATATTTGAGTTCAGTTCTCTTAACCCTTCTGGAAGCCCCGCATCGTATCCAATGTAACAACACCCATACATCTTATTCAAATAGGCCAAATAAGTGTCATATTTATACACACATACATATATAGCACACAAACTATTTATTGGTTATGAAAAAAGCCAATATTTTCTATTCTATTTGAAAATATTTGCTATCAGTATTCAAGACGTTTCTCTACGGATAAAATTTGAGTTCGCAGCATGAGTGTGTTATACCAAGTGTCACAATATTCATAAACTTTTTGGTTTCAATTCCAAAAAAGTAACAATTCAAGTTAATTTTAAGAAAATGCTTATTTATATTGATTTAATAAGTAAAATTGATTCAGGTATTCACTTTAATTCAAGCTTGAAATATTAGAATTTATATTACAAATACAAATATATTAGATGTATGTATGTAATAATTAATTACTAATTGTTGTACTTTCTTCAAAACTTTAAGCAGGCCATTCAGCTCTCTTTCTCTGGGCGTAATTTGTTTGAATTCAAATGTTAAGTTTTATTCAAATTTAAATTAAAATTGATTTTTGTTTATTTTCACCAACTTTTCAAAGAAACGAGCGCGTGAAACAGAGACAGCGAAGTAAACACAAAATACACACTAAAAAGCGGATTATCTATAAAAATTTATCAAGTGTCACTCACTTAATTTTCTTTCTTTATAATTTTTTACATAATTATTACCGCAATCGTATATAGCGAGTGTCACAATTCGTCAGATCGCATCAAGGTGCGAGTGTGGGATGAAGATAACGATTTAAAATCGAAACTGCGTCAAAAGTTAACACGCGAATCGGATGATTTTCTCGGCCAAACCATAATTGAAGTACGAACTCTGTCTGGTGAAATGGACGTGTGGTATAATTTGGAAAAACGTACTGATAAATCTGCGGTATCGGGTGCAATACGTCTTCATATATCGGTCGAAATTAAGGGTGAAGAAAAGGTAGCACCGTATCACGTTCAATACACCTGTTTGCATGAGAATTTATTTCATTATCTCTGCGAAGATAACGGAGGAATGGTAAGTACATATAGCAAATTCCGAACATTTACTTGAGAAGAAGTGTTTCGTCAAAATATGTTTTTATACAAACCTAAACAATTTATAATTTTATATAAATTATTTAGGTTAAGTTGCCGCAGCAAAAAGGAGATGATGCATGGAAGCTTTATTTTGATGAAATACCCGAAGAAATTGTTGACGAGTTTGCGATGCGTTACGGTATTGAGAATATTTATCAGGCTATGACACATTTTCACTGCCTTTCGGCCAAATATCTCTGCCCCGGTGTGCCAGCAGTCATGAGTACATTATTGGCCAACATAAATGCTTATTATGCTCATACAACTGCTTCATCGGCCGTTTCGGCAAGTGATCGTTTCGCTGCTAGTAACTTTGGAGTAAGTAATATTGATGGATCTTTTTAAAATTATTTAAATATTATTTTTAAATATTGTCATTTTATATACAACTCTTAAAGATTTGTATATTTATTTCTGTGAATTTCGAAAAGTGCGTATCGGATTAGTCCGTCATTGATTTTCTCAAACCAATCCACTTAAAACAAATCATTCCATGCAGACTCGAAGTCGGTAGTTTTTAAGATAATTTGATGATTTGATAGTTTACGTATGACAATAATATCGGTTTATGACTTCACCTACATTAGTTTGAAACTTATTGTGAAAATGTGATCTGAATAAACGTTTCGGCCTTATACCAATTATTATACTAATCCGACTCATACTGCTCGAAATTCGTAAAAACACAAAAGTTTTTATACTAATTTTATACATATACTTTATTACATTAAAGAAAGAAAAGTTTGTAAAACTCTTGGACCAATTACACAATTCATTACGAATTGATTTATCAATGTATCGCAATAATTTCCCCGCATCTAGTCAAGAAAAGCTAATGGATTTGAAATCGACTGTGGATCTTTTGACCAGTATAACATTTTTCCGCATGAAAGTAAGTAATTGATAATAATCGACATAATAATCACATGGGATAATATTGTTATTGAAATTGAAAAATGTGCACCTTTTATTAAAAAATATAAATAAATTTAAGGTACAAGAATTATCAAGTCCACCGAGAGCAAGTACAGTCGTCAAAGATTGCGTCAAAGCTTGTCTTAGATCCACTTATCAATTCCTTTTCGAGAACTGTTACGAATTATATAACAGGGAATTTCAGGTAAGGCTGATTTGTCCCATTATTTCATTCGAGCCGCATTTAATTCAACCGTTATTCTTTATATTTGAGTAAGTATGTATGCGAATTTCATTAAATTTTACTTTTTAAAGGTGGATCCAAACGAAGCCAAACGTGAATCTGACGACCACGGACCAAAATTGGATAGTGTGGATTTTTGGCATAAGTTAATTGCATTAATCGTGTCAGTGATCGATGAGGACAAAAATAGTTATGGAACTGTACTGAATCAATTTCCACAAGAGCTCAATATAGGACAAGTAAGTCATATTAATGTATATATGTATATTTCTTTACATTAGAAATATATTTTTTAAATACAGTGGTTTCCCGGTTTAACGAAAGATATACAGCCTGTTTTTCTAAAACAATTTAGTTCTCACACGAACATTTCATTTTATTACGATCAAGTTTAAAATTAGGATTTTATAAAACATTTGAAAGTTTTCGTTTAAAAATGTCTAAAATGAAATTAGCTTTTTCTATCGTAACAGAACATTATTGCCTACGTATTTCATTTCTGAAATTTTAAATATTTTTTCATGTAGTAATAAGATGTTTGGTGTTAACCCAAAAAAATAAACAAAAATAAAATAATTTTACAAAAAAAAAATTGAAATTATGAAAAATCTTCTTTTTGAAAACAACATGAAACTTGTATGCAATGTCTCAAGGTTTGTATTGCAAATTGTATTCAGGTTCAAGTGGCCACATATTATTTCGTATTTTGGTATAATTTTCGTTGTTTTATGGGCAAACGAAAGCCCTTTGCCTATCGTCTATTTCTGACTTTTCATTCGTTTATTGCGAACGAATTCATTTTCTAAAAACCAAAAATATATGGAAAAATAAAGCTCTTTCGTTGCCACTCACATGAAAATTTATTTTTTCGTTACAAAAACGTAAATCCAATTTCGTTCGTTATTTTTAAGAACGAAGACAAATTTTCATTTTAGAAAAACAGGCTGATAATGTCAGGCCCATTCGTAAAAACGTAAAATTCGTTAGACCGAATAACAATTTTTCTATGATTTAATGATTAAAATAGAGTAATGGAAGGTGTAGGAAGACTATTTTTTAAATCTTTTTTAATGCACTTATAAAGTCTGACAATTTCCTTGCATGTTTATGCAGTATTCAAAAGATAGAAATAATTATTATGTTAGATTTAGAATCAAACCAAAATTATAGATTTTAAGAAAAAATTGATTAAAATTAGGTAAAAAACAATTTCTTTTTGTTTAATGAGGGTAAAATTGTTTCATTTCGAAATGTATGTATGTATGTATGTATGTATGTATGTATGTATGTATGTATGTATGTATGTATGTATGTATGTATGTATGTATGTATGTATGTATGTATGTATGTATGTATGTATGTATGTATGTATGTATGTATGTATGTATGTATGTATGTATGTATGTATGTATGTATGTATGTATGTATGTATGTATGTATGTATGTATGTATGTATGTATGTAGTATGTATGTATGTATGTATGTATGTATGTATGTATGTATGTATGTATGTATGTATGTATGTATGTATGTATGTATGTATGTATGTAGTATGTATGTATGTATGTATGTATGTATGTATGTATGTATGTATGTATGTATGTATGTATGTATGTATGTATGTATGTATGTATGTATGTATGTATGTATGTATGTATGTGCAGAAAAAATAACAAAAAGACGTGTTTATAATATGTTTTAAGATAAAATATCTTTTCAAAACAATTTATTAACTAATATTATCATTCACAATTATATGAAATACCTTTTGAACAACTGTGTTTATTTTTGTGCATCTACTAATACATTCTCACCAGTTAGGTCTTTGACAATCCCTTTCGCCTATATGCTACTATATGATAGAAGCCTTGACTTCAAATATTTCAAATTTATTTTTCTAAGTTTTTGTTAAAAAATGTTTGAAATTTTCTTTGGACAATTTTTTATTTCTTTATGATTTTTAGATTAAAGTCGATGAAATTTGAAGAATGGATGTTAACTATGTTTGCTGATGATTTCCTGTTTATGTAAAACTGAAAAAATAACGAAATACCGAACAAATACAGAACACTAAATAAAATACAGAACATTTTCACGTTTTTTAGCAAAGAATAATTTATACAGAACAGGGCTCTAAAATACAGTACTGTTCTGTATAATACAGAACGTCTGGTCACCGTATATATAGTATATAACTTTAATATTGTTAAACTTAGATAAAATGGGACTTTGATTTTATTTAAATATTTTAAATTAACTTATTCTTGTCTTCTATGTCTTCTTTTTTTTTGCAAAAATCTCATTACAACCAGGGTACGAATAGCGATCCAATTCAATTCGTTCGCGAGCGAGTTTAATTCGGGCGATTTAAACATTTTATTTTCCCGCGAATAAATCTTTTTGACTCGCGAGTTTTATAATTTTGAAAATGAAATAAATTAAAATTTTTAAGACATAATTATATATGCATTATTTTGGTGCAAAAACCTTCCGCGGTAAATTGATTTTCTGAAACCTTTCACAAACATACTTATAGATTCCTTTATGAAGCTACTTTAGAGAAATACATGAATGCATTACAATTGTATGATAAAAACCATGTATAGTAGGGTGTCCCGTGGACCATTTTTTAGGAGGAATACCTCTAAAACTATGTGTTGCAATGTACTTAATACGAGAAAATTAAAAAACAATTTTTTTTAAAAAGATCCTCAGTTCCCTACCAGCGATTGAAAATATTGATCTCAGTACAATATGTTTAAAAAAATTTCTTCAATCTTTTCAACTTGGGTGTCAAAAATTCCGTAATTTTGAGCTTATCGCGGGAAAAATAATTTAAATTATTGATAGTGTATTTCTGGTCCGCAAAACGACTTTTATAAGGGGTATATAAATTTAAAAAAAATTAAAAAAAAATCTGAAATGGACTAAACCAAATGCCAAACTATTTTTTAAATATTTTTCGGTATGAGCTAAAAATTACGAAATTTTTGACCCCATTTCGACAAAAAGCGAAAATAATATGCCTCTTCAACCCACTAAAAATCATATTGTGGACCAAAAATATTCTACAAAAATTTTAAAATTATTTTTTCCGTAATCAGCTCAAAATTACGTAATTTTTTAAACCCAATTCGAAAATATCGAAAATATTTTATTTTTCAAAAATACACTACAGGTCAGGATTTTTTACTTTTCAAACATCAATATACATTAGAGTGCTCCAAAAAAACGAAGTTGCGAATTTTGCCCGTCCCCCCCTCTAGAATGTCATACAAAAAATTAGACTGATAGGATAACGTTAACAGGTGCCGCAACGGCTCTAAAGTTTCTAAGAGCATTTACAAGGGGAAAATATAGATTTATTCAGTTTTTGTTAAAATTTTGCACTTTATTGTAAAGGAATCGCAATGTACACATAATAAGAATTTCGGAAAGATAGATTTATTCAGTTTTTGTTAAAATTTTGCACTTTATTGTAAAGGAATCGCAATGTACACATAATAAGAATTTCGGAAAGATATAAAACACAAATATTCATTGAAAAATTTAAAAATTATTGCAAATTCTCACAGCACATGAATTCGTTATGTGACAAAAAAAAATTTGTTACTTAAAATATATCTATAATAACTAGAATAGTTGCTTTTGTCTTTATACGATAACGCAAACTTGTTCTCAGCTATGGTTAAAAAGTTAGATTTTTTCAACGGCTGTTTTTTTTTAAACTTTGTTAAACATATTTCAACATTTTTAGGAGATCTCATGGTGATTTATGGACAATAGATAAGGGAATAAAACGGTGAAAAAATTAGATCAATATTTCAATGTAACTACGATTTGAACTCGGCGGATTTCGGGAAAATCGCATTTTTTTTGTAATATTTTAGAGAATAGGGTTAATATTACTATATTTATAGCTGTTATTTTAAACATAAGACTTTATACCAAAAATTCCAGTCATATTTATTAAATATGTCCAACAAATAAATAATATTTCGAAATGGTGCACTGAGAATTCCCGAATATAGCAAAATTTGACCTTTGAACTCCACATTTTAAGGGTTAAGAATGTCCGATTTAAATATAACTTGGAATATATATCTTATATTATCTGATCTATAATACTCGGAAAATGCTTTGTTTAAAATGTACAACAGTAAAGAATTAATACGTATTCTCTAAAATATTACAAAAAATGCGATTTTCCCGAAATCCGCCGAGTTCAAATCGCAGATACATTGAAATTGAAATTGGAGATTTGAAACAGCCGTTTGAAAAATCTAACTTTTTTAACCATAGCTGAGAACAAGTTTGCGTTATCGTATAAAGACAAAAGCTAATATTCTAGTTACTATAGATATAATTTAAGTAACAAAATGTTTTTGTCACATTTCGAATTCATGTGCTGTGAGACACGTTAATGGCCTGGGAAATTTGCAATAGCTTTTAAATTTTTCAACTAATTTTTGTGTGTTATATCTTTCTGAAATGGCTATTCTGTGCACATTACGATTCCTTCACAATAAAGTGCAAAAATTATTATTAAATGGCAAAATTTTAGCAAAAACTGAAAAAAATGTATTTTTTCATCTTGTAAATGCACTTGGTATCTTCAGAGCCGTTGCGGCACCTGTTAACGTTATCCTATAAGCCTAATTTTTTTTCATGACTTAGTTTTACAACCCATAGAACAATTCCAGAATGTGGACGGCCTGTCGGATAAAATATTTTTTCCTTCATACAAGCACTCTAAAATACATGTATACATATACAAAAACATACACATTTACATAAAAAGATAGAAAATTTATTTTTTACACTTTCCCATTTTGATTTTGTGTGACCGTCATAAAACCTACGGCTACACAATCACATATACATAATTATGGATAATTATTTCCCATATGGGATACTATATATTATTCGCTCTTTTTTACTACCACAATAAAAAAATTTTCTTGCACACACACTTTGCTGATCTTCGGCTGGAATTTAACTCGAATTAAACTCGTTTTCCACACGCTCGCAAGCGAGTTGAAAAAACAAAAACATATACAGTGTCTCTCATAAGTATTCGAATTTAATGTATTATGAAAACAGACATCATTTTATAATAGATTTTGTGGGAAAAATAAATAAATTAATTTATTATGTTGTCCAGACAGTCCTTAAATTTTATACCACATTTTAAAAATTAAAAAAAAAAATAATTTACTTAAACTAATTTAACTTTTTT